AAAAAAAAAAAAAAAAAAAAAAAAAAAAAAAAGAGGGGGAAAAGAAAACAGGAGGGGAGGGAAAGAGGGGGGGAAGGGGAGAAAAAAGGGGGAAAAAGAGGGAAGAGGAAAGAAGAGGGAGAAAAGAAGGGAAAAAGGGGGGGGAAAGGAGGAAAAAGGGGGAAGAGGGAGAAAAAGGGGAAAAAAAGAAGGGAGAAAGAGAAAAAGGGGGAAAAGAAGGGAAGGATAAAAGAAGAAAAAATGAAAAAGGGTAAAAAAGAGAAGGGGAAAGAAAAAAAAAAAAAAAGGTTTGCAGCAGGCAGAGGGATCTCTCGCCCCGGGGGTTCTGCCACAGAAGGTCTTTCCGGCTCCCAGGAGCACGAGTATGTGATGGGGGGACACTGCTGCTTCAGAGTTTTGTATAACTTACTGCAGGTTTGTGTCAAAACCTGGGGGCTGAGTTAGTTGTAGGGCTGCTCACAGATTCTCTGCTGAAACGCTTCTTTTTTGGTTAAAGGTCATTCTGCTTGCTTGCAGTCTATGTAAAACTGGAAATCCCGATACATTTTCATTTTTAAATATATAATTTTTTTTTTCCCAGTTAAGCTTAGCTCATAGTGGAGAAAAAACCCAAATAGAAAACTTTAAAAGTGGCAGGTTAGTGCGAAGGCTCATTCATTGTCATAGTCACTTTTTTTTTAATGAATCTCCAGGATTGTAAAGAACTTGAATGAGGCTTCGCAGCCCTGCATTACACTGAGTCAAGAAGAGTCACTCAAGGTCGTTTCTCCCTAGAAACGTCTTGGCTCGGACAGCGAACCGGTCAGTCGTGCGAGTTCTCAGGCCCTGCCTTGGGCTGAGCGCTGCCCGCAGCTCGGGGGGAGTTGTAAAATAATATTTGGTTTGTCTCTAATGTTTTAGCTCTCAATCTTTATCTCGGTTCCCTCAGAGCAGAAGCAATCCTACTTGGTGTGTGTGACTTCACAGCTGAATAATGGAAAGGTTTTACCGCGGCTGTGAAACAGGAGGGTTTTGTGAGGGACGGTCTGAATTCCCCGGGAATCCCACCAGCTCCGGTGCCGGTAGTGACGTGACGGGGCCGTGGGAGTGGGAGCAGGGTTTCCTTCCCCCGCAGCCCACCCGTTTTTAACCTTTCTTCCCCATCGTTTCCCCCCCCCCCGCCCTCCTGTAGTTCACACCTCTTTCTTTGGACTGTGCCTGGCTCGAGTACCGCGTTGCCTTGTAACCCCTTTTCCATGGCTATTCCATCTGTTAAGATGTCTGTTATAGTGGAATTTTTTTCAAAATAATAGTTCGCCCTGCTCCTCCATCCTCTTCTGTGCATTGGTAGGGGGTGTCTGGCTGGTTCGGGCGGAGGTTCCAGGGCGGGTACCACTGGGTGCTGCCTCGGAAAGCATCCATGGAGGAGCACCCCGTAAAGCCAGGACATTTCGGGGAGTAGCAGCAGCAGCTGAAGACGGAAATAGAGAAACCAGAGGGTTGAACTAGCAAAGATTTTCCAACCAGACCTTTAACGGACTTCTCCAAACCGTCAGCACTGCTGACGAAGCCCGGTGCAGGCAGTTCCTAACTGCGGCTGCTCGTTGGGTCTGACCCGGGGCCACCGTTTTCCTCTGTCCCAAAGCCCGGGCGGGTGGACAGGTTTTGGTGGCCCTGGGCCAGCCTTCGCCTCCCCTGTGGCTACAACAGTATCGCAGGGCTGCGGGCTGTCTGATGGGAGCACCTCCCTCCCTAGAGCAGCTCCTTGCCCTGCTTATGGGTGCTATTTGGTGTCTTGCTCGTGGTTTTGCCTTTTTATGAAAACTAGACTCCTATCTAAAGAAAGAACAAACAAAAACCTATGGCAGGATATTTATGCAGATGTGCTCTAGATGTTTTCTTGGCTCTGATGTCTTTATCTAAAACTGCGTGGCGTGTGCTAGGATGGGGTAGGAGAGGCAGGTGTGATAAATCTGAATTTTCACACGCAGAAATTAAAGCACATTTCTGAGCTGAAACTTGACGGCAGTGAAACGCACGATTGTTTGTTTGGGATGAGATCCCTTTCAAATCCAGACACCATTCAGGGAAAATTTTAAAAATAGAAATCAAATCCTAAGCGAGGCGCATAATCCGGTTTTGCTCTGTCTGCTGCCATTTGCTTTTAGGCTCCCAGCCGCCTCCGACCTCGGGGGGACTCGGTTGTAGCTGCACCCCCCAAACCCTCCCTGGGGTCACCCGGCATCCTTGCACCCTCCGCAATGGGATTTTTTAAAAAAAAAATAAATTAAATTTTTTTAAAAAAAATCCATCCCATTTCAAGTCAGTGGTTTTGCCCGATATGGGAAGTTTCACATCCGCTGCAAATGTCGGGAATGACGGAAGTGCGTCTCAAACAGCGATTTAGCGTCAGGTTTTTGGCTGCGTGTGATGAACGCAACAGTTTGTAAAACCTTTTTAAAAAATCTGAGCGGCAAATAATGGAGAATTCTGTAACAGAAGTAATGACCCGGAAAGGCTGTAACGTTTTGTTCCTGCCTGTGTGTAATGGGGCTGGGGGGAAGACATGGAAGCTGTAGGGGGGTGTTCGGGCAGGGCTGTGCTCCCTCGGACCGGGGTGTGCAGCGTGGCACACGAGCCGGGGTGAGGACTTTGGGGGTTCAGCTCGAGGCGTGATTTTTATGGATTTGTTAAATTGGGGTTAGAGTGTGTTAGCGGGCAGCTCGGGCCAAAGCAGTAACAGCATCCCCTTCTCCGGGCTGCTTTTGTCAAAAGGGAGGGATCTGAAAACTTCCCTGGAGAGCTGCGTGCTCAGGTGGGGGGGGTGATGTTAGTTGGTGTTAGTCAGTGTTGGGGAACTTATTAGGGGAAAAGCTGGTAATTAATCCAATTGCTGCCCCTTTCTGCAAGGAGTCTGTGGACAGTCCCTTGTGGGAGGGACCCTGAGGTGGCCGTGAGCCCTCACCGCCCATCACAGCACGGATTTTGCGAGGTTTTGGGTATCTTGAGGGGAAAATGTCCTCTTGTCTGAGCCCCCCGGGCAGGGGGCCCTGTCTGGGTGCAGCGCTCCGGGCCAGCAGTTCTCCACGTTGGTCTGCAGTTATGCGTTACATAGAATTCATCCCTGCTCTTCGTGGCCCGCGCTGGGATTCCCCCTGTTTCGTGGCCAGACGGGGCTTTGCCTGGTGCGTGGTGGGTGGCAGGGATGCGGGGTGCTGGCGGGGCGCCTGGGTGCTAGCTCCAGCCGTGATGTCTCTCTCTCTCTGTCTCTCCCCTCGCTGCCCGTCCAGTCCCGCCAGACCCCGGAGGGCGAGTTCCTGCCGCTCGATCAGCTGGAGCTGGACGTGGGCTTCAGCACAGGGGCCGACCAGCTTTTCCTGGTGTCCCCGCTCACCATCTGCCACGTGATAGATGCCAAGAGCCCCTTCTACGACCTCTCGCAGCGCAGCATGCAGACGGAGCAGTTTGAGATCGTCGTCATCCTGGAGGGCATCGTGGAAACCACGGGTGAGTAGAGGGGGCAAACCCCCCCGCCAGGTAGACGCTGCCCCACTGGTCTTACCGCCCGCCTGCCAAAAACTGGGGGCTTCACCTTGCCCTTGAATCCAGCGGCAGGGCCGGAATTTGCAAGCCAGAGCCAGCCAGAGGCGTGTTTTCCTACGAAGGGAAAATGTTGGAGGGATTTTTGGCGATGTGTCTGTTACCAAGGTGATCGCTTCGGTGCTCCCGGCAGGGCGCAGAAGCCTGGGTGGCAGCAGCTGCCGTGGCTCAGCGACGGGATGCGGGGATGCCACGGCCAGTGCCTGGCTTCCCTTCCCAGCTGCGGGGGAGCCCTTAGCGGGGGGATCCGGAATATTTCTGATCATTTCTGCGGTCTGCATGCTGGTGTCCCAGAGTTTCTGAGCTGGGTGGCTTTTCTCGCGCAGGAGGCCACCTCCAACAGCCTCGGGCTGCAGTATTTCAGCAGCTCAGCCGGGTACCCAGTGGGGCTGGGGCAGGCAGAGGCGAGTCGTCTGCACTGCACAAGAAAATATCCCTGATATTTCAAGAAAAATTCCCTGCTGTAAGCATAGCTGGCTCGTGTAAGGATTTCAGGGCTGACATGCAGACCAGAGAACTCCGGGTTGTCTTTTTTTCCCCTAGTAGAACTGTTTTAAAACAGGAAGGATCGAAGAAAAAGAGTTTTGTGAATAACCCGTTAGAATTTTAAAACAAAGAGATGTGTTTGTATACCGTTGAGTTTATTTTTGTAAATATTTCTGACTTAGAAATTATACACAGGACAAAAATAAAGGAGGTATTTTCTGAACCTACAAAGCCTAACTCACATAGGCTTGCACATTTTGCGACCTACTTTTATAAGATGAGATGGATATTGGGTAAAATAGAGCAAAAACTGTGCTCTATCTTGATAAAACACGAAGGGATGAAAGGGTTTTAAAGTTCAAAAACATCTTTAAAAATGTGAGTAAATGAGAGAGGAGGAGAGTACAGAGCTGGAGGGCAGGGGGGCCAGAGGAGAACTGGTATCGGTGACAGCAGGAGCGTGTAAATACAAGGGTAAGGGCAATCTCATGTGATGGATGCCCCCCCCGCTTTTTTTTTTTTTTTTTTTTTTTTTTTTTTTTTTTTGAGTGGACACTTAGCAAGTTTAAAACTGGCAGAAAGTCAGGACACATCTCTCTGTCCTGGTGCTGCCCCAGCAGATTCTTTATGACAGTTTCCACCTCCCCTATCGTTCACCTTGAAGCCAAACCACCTTTGGCGAGGTGGGGGCTGCTCCGGGAACACCCAGTGCTCTCTGTCTGTGAACTGTGAGAAATGTTTCATGTGGGTTACGTCCCTGAATACCTCTGCTAAGGCAAGAACTGGGTTTAACTCGGGTAGTTTTCTGAGAAGTTGAGTCTGCTGCTGTGAAGTATGACTGCTGGGGCCGGGCTGGCTGAAGGTCAGGAGACGCCAACCTCAGCCTTGGTAGGACACATCACGCAAAGCAGGTTTCGTGGAAATAATATCTTGCAGAAATCTTCCATTTAAGTTATTTTAACTTATGGTTTGCATCTCGCAGCCCACAGCCACCCCAGAACAGAAGCAGTAATTTGAGGGGGATTATTAGGAATGTTATAAAATAATTTGCAGCTTACCCTGTTGGCTGTTTCGCAGAGGAAGCCGATAGGAGATTCGGTCTGTGCGTTCCTCCTCCTCGGTGTAAGGCAGGTCCCTGCCCTCGCTGCAGTGTGTACCTGCTCTCAGAGGTGCGGTACAAGTCTGAAATGTCTGCTGGCGTGGAAAGAACAGAAATAACTCACAGTTGTTTGGAAACCAGGGTGCTATTTTTGGTTAGGTGTAAAAAATATGCTGTTATTCATTTTTGGTTTGTTGTTTGTTTTTTTTTGTTTGTTTTTTTTTTGTCTCGGGAAGTCAGTGAGTAGGTCACATGTTTGAAAAGGCTTTTCCAATTAATTTCGATTTCATGTGGCAGGAGAGAGCAGCGGCGGTACCGGCGGGTCTCGCGGGGGCTGAGCGAGCCCGATTGATCTGCGTGTGGTTCGGGAGAGTCCTGTGGATGATGAATGTGCAGCCTGCGGGAAGTAGGTTGGAGGAAGATTAAATAAACTGCGGTTGATTTGCAAATTAGGCGAAGTTACAGCTGCCAGTGTTTGAAGTGGGGACTGATCTGAAGCAAATGGGAGAGGGGTTTAGGGTTTCTTTTTGGGTTTGGCTCGGTGGAGCCCAGAAGGAGCAGACAGAGGTGAGAGCTAAGGCTGAACGGAGAGGCAGGTTGAGTTACGTACGGGGTGGGTTACGTATGGGTGTGGCGGGTTGAGTTACGTACGGGGTGGGTTACGTATGGATGTGGCGGGTTGTTAGGTGTGGGATGACTTCTGCTGCCACCATCAGCCCAGCTGATGCTCCAGGCGACGCTCCCACCTGCCTTTCAGCCCTTCCAGCTTCCTGCTCAGCGTGGGAGTCCCTTCAGATGGCTCCTGCCTTACATCTCAGCTGTTACCTTATATGTTGAGTTTTGAACTACAATCACAATGTTCTGTTAATCCTACTGGGAGTGGAATTTAATTTAATTATGAGTGAAACCTGTGCAGATAGGACAGCAGCCTCCAGAGAGCAAGCCTCTTCTACAACCCTGTTCTTATGATGGGTTTCTCTCGCATCCCAGGAGTAAAATAGATGTTTACTGCAGAGTGAAGAACTTCCTACTTTCCAGCCTGTAAAGCTGCCTTTGTAGTGGTTATCTGTGACTCCATCAGTTACTGCATGGAAAAAAAAAAATCGTTTTTTTTATATCATTGAGTTGAAATTGAATTGGATTTTGAAACTCAGAAGACTTCCTTTCGATACCAGAACACAAGGAAAATGGATGGATTTGTCCAATGGTGCTGCCTTGGCATTTGGTCTCTTCCCAAAGGCCAGAGGCCGGTGCCACGGCGGCCACATCCCTGTGCTGCTGCAGACCAGGGCAGTGGTCCCCGTTGGGCCAAATCCCGGCAGACCCTGCCTGGGAACTAGTTTTGGAATTTGGACTCCGACTCTAACATTTCCTTATGAAAGCAGGTAATTTCACTCGGCTGACTTCATTCCCGAGGGGGTAGATGTGTCGTGGGCAGAGCAGCAGCTGGGGAGAACCCTTCCCCAGCAGTGGATGTGCTGCTGGGCCTCTGTGCCGCCGCTCCAGACTTGACAGCCAGCTCAGAGGGCCTGAGAAAATAACGTGACTTCTGCACCTGGGCGCTGAGCAGCCTTATAATACACCCAGTTTTCTAAAACTGCTGTCTTATTTGCTTTGGTTTGGTTTTTTGGGTTTGTTTTTTTTTTTTTGGTAAAATTGACTTGTAGAGCAATTTGGTAAAATTTCTGTGGGTTTTTTTTTTGGTAAAATTGACTTGTAGAGCATCAATACCATGGAGATAAATTGGTTTTTTACCCGTCCCAGAAATGCAGTGCAGAGGAATTGCGCCGTTCGCTCCCCTCCGCCCCGTCCTGGGCTGCAGGAGGGTCCTACCCTGGATCTTTGCTAACGGTATTTAACAGAAAAGGCTTTGATATTCATCAAAGTTCTTCAACTTGTGGAGTCTAAAGGGGGAGCTAGTGCTTTCAGCCTACACTCCTGGTTTGTTTTTCAAGTCAGTTATTTTCTGTGTCTGCCTGGGAAGTGCTGTGGAACTGCGCTTAGATCTGCAACATCCGCTGTAAAGGGCTGAGTTACTCGCACACCTCTCCCATGTCCTGTGGAGATCTGCTGGCCCCAGCGCCAAAGAGTTAGATGGCAAGGGAATAATAATAAATAACAAAAATATTTATTTTTCTTCTCTTTCGGACTGACGTGAGAGAAGTGGCCTTTAGCCTGGAACTACAGGAGGCAGAAATACCTGTAAAAACTAAACGCAGACTTCTCAGTCAACGTGAAAAGTAAGAAACAATTAAGTCATTGGAAGGAAGGATCCTTCACTGGAAGGATCAGTGGGGTGGGTTCAGGGCTCTTCGGCATGTTTTCAAGCGCTTCAACCTCGAACTATTCTGTAAATCGTGTTTTCAAGATCCGGTGGGCGATATCGTCGCGTGTCTGTGTACGCGCGTGATCGCGCGGTGCCACGGGGAGGCGTTTCACGGCGGTTAGGGTAGGGCAGGGCAGCACAGCTTAGGGGTAAATCACCTGAAGGATCCCATCTGCCGTTTCCCCTGTTATTCCTGCGCCAGTCCTCTGGTATTGCCATCTGGTGTGGGCCAGGGTGCAAGTGACTTACAAACTATAAAAAGTATTAGAAGGCATTGAGTATTCCTCACCGTAACACAGCCCTTGTATTTATAACAAATAGGGATTTAGGAGGCCTAACAGCATTTGGGTTGAGTCAGCTCTGCCGTTCGACTTGAAGCCTCTTGCTTTTCTTTAGCAGGTGCTTATGAAGACTTTTTTTTTTTTTTTTTCCCCCTGTGACTTTGTTTTCTGCTTTAATCAGTTGGATTTTGATATGCAATTTAGCAAGGGATTTAGAGAATTAGTAAATATATACAATAAATCTTGTTTTGACTGTCTGCAGGGACAGTAAAGATTTTTTTTTAGAGAAGTCTAATGAGTTGTTTAAGCAGGATCTTCTTGCTTATAAATCCCACTTGGCTGATTAAAATCACCATTTCCAATGCCTTCTCTCATTAAATCGTGTAAAAATGATTTCTCATAGATGCCTCCCAACTTGATTAAGTTAATTTACTGCCTCATCACTGAAATTTTAATTTCTGGAAATATAAATATTTCTTTATGCTTTCCTTAGCTTCCTTAATTACAGCTTTTAGTTGTTTAGCTAATACCACGTGGGAAGCGGACCCAGCTCATCCCGAAGGGGTGGTACCCGGGGTCCTCTGACCCTTCCTGGGCCTCCCTGGGGAGAACAGGGCTGCGTTTAGCAGAGCCTGACTCCCCCTCCCAGCCAGCCCTTGCTTTTAGGAAATAGAAGCAAAATATCTCAGCAGGTTGGTTTGTGGTTTTTTTCAGG